ATTTAATAAATTTCATTAAAAAATTTGAAGTTCTTCATATTTTCATGGTGCCTCTACTCAAAAAAAATAACGTGACCGAAAAGTACACAATGTTCTCGAAATTATTTCACTTTCATCTAAAGTACCTTTTTATTTCATCAAAACAATTAAAATATTCAAAATTTTCAATTTCATTATTTTATGGGACCGCCCTGCATATTGATTCAATGAATTTAGTTACGTTATATTCATATCATAAAGTAAAATAATATAAAATACAACTCAAAAATTAATATAGAATTAAGCATATATTTAGTATACTCACAACATTATATTGTCAATTGAATGAGTTTCAATATGTTAAATGTAAAAAGTTTTGATTTTTTATAACTTTATATTATAAAACGTTATGCACTTATTACATGCACATCATGAGAAAAAAATGTTTGATAAAGTTAAAAAATTCTACATAATTATATAAAAAATTGAGATATTTTATATATAATTATATAAAATATGTCCATATATATAATTTTTTCCCAGAATGATAAAAAACATAACATAATGCAGAAAATATATTAAAAATTAACATTATATGTATTTAAATGTATATAAATTAACACATTTAATGATATATCAACATATATGTTAACATATTAAATATACTCATTTTTCCTTTATGGGCTTATTAGATTCTATAAAGAATGTATACATACACAGTTAGTGACACACGTCATAATTTTTACTGTTTTTTCTAATAAAGATTTTTTTATAAAGACAAAATTTACTTTATAAGACAATCTTTTTTTTCATTTCTATGTATTTTATTTGTTAAAAGATAAAAATTACAATCTTTTTTTACACTCCGAATACATTACACTCTACTCTATAATGTAATTTCTAAACGTCAAAAAATTTCATTAACACCGACGAAATAATATTAAAGACCGACGTTCTTACGGGAGTTTGCGTCCTTGTGAATATTGAAATAATTAAGAGTTAAAAACTGATAACATTGTATTAATTTTATGATTTATTGATTTAGTAAACGTAATTATACATTTATAATTTAATAATACTCCATTATTTTTTAAAATGATTTCAGCGTCAAAGTTTATTATCAACAGAGATGATAATTACAAAGAAAAATTGTAATTTTTCTGCAATAAATAGGATATTATAGCTTTATAAGTATGCATATTTATTTATGGAACATTTATGTAATAAAAAAATCATGAATTTCATAATGTATGAGCCAAATATTTATATTAATAATTGCAAATTTATATTAATTGTCGTTAAAATCAGCGTCCTTCAATTATCTTTTGGCCTTTTTATACCGCTGAAAATTTTCTCAGGCTTGATGGTCTTTAATAGTTTCTCGTCGATGATTCTAGTAATTTAATATGAAATGTTTTTATTATAATATTAGGTGTTGGAATTAATTCGTAGCGTTTT